TCATATTTCACAATTTAGAGGGTTAACTAACCTAACTTAAAATTTTCAAAATTAACTATAATTTTTCCACCATTTTTTCTTCTCAAATTCTCTCTTTTCTTTACTCCCTCACCATCACCAAAGTTTATCTTCATCTCCATTTAGAATTTCACATTGAAGTTATAAAATAGTGGAACTTATGCACAATCCAATTTACACAAATTATCAATTAAGAATTCATACATTATCATCAACAATTATCATCTAAACTTCATCAAGATTCATTAACAATCATCATTCAAAGTTCATCAACTCAAGTTTATTCATCAATAATCTATATTCAAGATTCATCTCCTACATTCATAATAAAAAATAATCATTAAGCTTGGAAGTTAATTGGACTAAAAGAGCTTATTCTTGAAGTATTTCAGATTTCTCTTCGACACTTTGATTTTCAACACTAACCGGAGCAAACCTCCGCTCCGTCGGTAATCTTTCATATCTTCAACACTCTTGTCATGAATTATTGGATGTTTGCTCATTGATTATTGGATATTTGCTTGTTGATTAATTTAAGCATACATGCAACGTTTAACTGCAAGGACTCGAACGTTAACATTGTCCACTAAAAACAACCAACACACACTTATTTTCTACCCATGAACTACAGAACTATGATTTTCTCATTGCACTATGAAAATATGTAGGCTCAAGATTTTAAAATCTTGGCGATCACACTAATTTAAAACTCTTTTTCTCTTTTCGCAAGTAACATTTAGATAATGACATTCATTCATGCAAAACAATCAAAATGATTCTCGTTAAATACAACGGATGTGAGAGGTATTAATATTTTCTCTTTGCATAACCGATTTTTGAATCCAAATTTAATTACAACAACTATTTTCTTTATCTTTTTGGAATTTTATCAATGTTTTTTTTCTCTCTGAAATAAATACAAATAAGTGACCACTATTTTATTTTTTTATGACAATACACTTTACCATTTAAAATTCTATTTAAATGGTGTATCACATGAAAGTGCAACCGTTACATTTTAAATTAGTTTTTTCTCTTGAATTTAAGGCTGATCACATTTTGAATGTGGGGACGGAAACACCAATTTACTTCATTTATGATCATTACTTAAGCTACCTACTTTTTTGATATAGCAGGTTTTGCCATAATTACATATACAGGATTGCTATGTTGACACCCATCTTTACACCCTACACCTCAATTACTGTTCACAAATACTTGAACAAATTTCCCAGAATATGGTTAATAGTGTGTATTTTATTGGTTAATGAAGTAGTGAAAGTGGTTAATAAATTATAGGTAAAATAATTGGTTAATAATGTAGATTTTTGTGGTTAATGCAACTGTGAAGTTGGTTAATGCGCAATCTTATATTTGTGTTATAAAATAAATTTTAAAAATAAAACTTTTTTAAAAAAAAAATTAATATTTTAAAAAAATATATTATTTTAATAAAAAAAACACTGTTCACCGTATAAATACGGTGAATAGTGCATACGGTGTAAGTATTGGGTGTAGGAAATGGTGTAGGAATAGCATTTTTCTTACATATAATCATATCCAACTACACTCAATAATACAAGTCAAACTCGCATCACAACAAATTCAAGGCGGTTCAGTATACAATAAATAATCAACACCCTATCTACTAAAAATCTGGATATATAATGTAGCTACATAATTATTATTGCCAAAAACTTGGCACATATCTTCTACTCTAGCATAAGAAGTTGTTATATTAGAACTCCCAAAACAATGAGTGCAATTTGCAACATACTCAATGTAGTATTGCCCCCATTGTCACTGATTATACTCCCAATCATTATGCTACCTTATCTTTTCTTCAAATTGCTTATTCATGTAAAGAAAATGGTGTATAAAGAAAACATGGCTAGAAAAGTAGTACTAATCACAGGGGCAGCCTCGGGAATTGGGGAGGTACATAACTACATATATATGATATACTTATTCTAATTAGTTTCATTATGTATGTTAATATTTTTATTGTTGCTAATAAAATCTTGTTACTTAAAAGCAACTAGCTTATGAATATGCTAGACGAGGAGCAAGGTTGTCCCTTGTTGACATTAGAAAGGAGAATCTTGTAGCAGTGGCTGAAATGGCAAGATCTCTTGGTTCTCCTGATGTTATCATCATTGGCGCTGATGTTTCTGACGTTCAAGAGAGTAAACGATTTGTTGATGAAACAATTGACCACTTTAAACAACGTACGCTAGTTTTTACTTTCAAATAATTCATGAAAGATTTTAATGTTATTTTACTTGCCTCCATGATTGAATTGTGATTTTAAAAAAATGGAATTTACGTGTTTCATGCAGTGGATCATCTAGTAAATAATGCTGGAGTTGCAATTCCAGGGTTGATAGAGGATTGTTCTGATATGACTAAATACGCTCCAGTTTTAGTAAGCTATTGATTCGGTTTCAAAGTGTTTTGAAAAACTAGTTAGATCATTTTTTGAAGTTCATGAACAACAAAGAATCAATTATAGTAACTTTTATGTGTTTATTTGACAGGATGTAAATTTCTGGGGAGCAGTTCATGGGACTTTACATGCAATTCCACATCTCAAAAAAAGTAAAGGAAGGATAGTAGTGATTGCTTCAACTTGTGGATGGTTCCCGCTTCCAAGATCCAGTTTCTATAATGTAAACTTAAATATCAATTTTATTTTACTTTTCAATTATTTAACCAATCAAATAATTTATCAACAGTATGCTATTTCTTACTCAATAAATTGGATGGTATCAGGCTAGTAAGGCAGCATTGATAAGTTTCTTCGAGACTCTAAGAATTGAACTTGGTTGGTCTATTGGCATAACAATTGTCACACCAGGATTTATCAAAACAGAACTAGCATTGAAGGCTTATGAAAATAGGGTTAGTCAGTTATAATGTTACACCTCCTTTAACTTAAACTTCAACCATATGTTCTAATTCATTTTAATTATTGCAGCCTAGTCTGAGAATAATTCCAATGGGGTCAGCATTTGATTGTGCCAAAGACATAGTGAAAAGTGCATGTAGAGGAGATATGTATGTGACAAATCCTTCATGGGTCAAAGTGTTGTTTCCTTTTAAGGTGCTTTATCCTGAGCTGGTGGACTGGGTCCAACAACACATCTTTGGCCTTTTACCAAACCCTTTTTGTAAGAAAGGAAATAGCAAGACAGATTAAGTTGTTATTTAGTGGGATTCGCACACTTCATTTTGAGACTTGGCCTAGCAAAGGTGTCTTTAACATATGCTTTTTATTGATTAACTCTATAAGGTTGTTTTGTGTGCTCTCTTAAATTGTAGTAGAGATAAGTGTTTGAGAATGCAGTATAGACATTTCTACAATTGTTATCATCTAGGCAATGGTAATAATTGACATCATATAAGATGAATTAGATTTCACCGCAATAATATACAAAATAGGAAGTGTGCTATTAGCTATATGTTGAACTATGAATACTCCATGTCCCAAAAAAACTATTTTCTTTCAATGTATTGGACTTTAACACAACAGAGCGGAACCATTGTATGTGTACAGATCTGACAGTGTTACGTTCTCTTTAGCATTCTCATCTACATGGTTGCCTGCACCAAGAATGATGTTCTACAATGCAATACGCAAAGCCTCGTCACTAAGCTAAGATTAGCTTTCGATACTATGTAGTATATCTTTCTTGTGTCAGTAACCAGTAGCCAACTTATAGCTTTCAAAATCCATCAGGCAAGCAAAGAAGCATCAGTGATAAGCTTGTATAGTTATGCCAGGGTTGATAGAATCAGAAATGATCCAAAGGAAATGTTTCATGACCAAGAAATGAGAGATGTACGCTAGCTTTATTTTGCAAAAGGGAAATATTTGGTTTTTCTTGGTGTTTATGAGTTTTATAGTATTTTTGGGGATCAACGGGTTCAACTTAGTTTGGTGCCTATAAGATCAGTCACAGAAGCTGCCAAAGCAATTGTGAATAGCGCATTTCCGTGGAGACTCTACCTGACAGAATCAGCATGGATTTGCCCAGAAGTATTGGAGCTTTTACACCGTTGGCTGCTACTCTCTGGGACTTCAGAGAGGGAAAGAATTGGCAAGAAGCCCGTTAATCTACCAGGCTTAGCAAAATATGTGCATCCTGAGTTAGTTAGAAATCCCAAAATCAAGCCTAACTAACGTCCAACTGTGTGTATTTGAAATATAGGTCATGTTTTGTAAATATTGAAATAATATCTGATGAAACAGTTGGCGCCAAAAAACAAGAAAAAACTTGTAATTTACAGCATTATTAGAGTTTGGTCTAACTAATCTTTCCAAAACTGGCTTGTAATAAGCATATGTTCGTCTGTTCAGGCCAAATTGCGTCCAATGAGGCACTCTTAACACAACCTCTTACGCCCAGAACTTACTTTCTAACAATTGAGTAAAAATTGTGAGTCTTGCACCATTGTATGTGAGTTCAGTTTTCAATATGGTAAGATCTATATGAATTTTACTTATTAATAAAGTAAAAAGAAAAGCGTTAAAATAAGTACTATTAACACTATTTTTTTTATTTATGACCTGAAATCTCATTGATTACAAAATTGGAAAATATGTAACCAAACTCTGAAAAACTAATGGGCTAAAATCACTTGTAAAGATTTACATTTTAAATTAAATTACTAAATCATTTGTTACATGCATACACTAAGTGCACCACCATCAACGGCAAAATGATACATGCATTCACTAAATGCACCACCCCAAAACAGCAAAACGATACAGTGGGCAACCTGATATTAAAGGGAGGGCCATACCTTGTTTTGATGAAATTGGACACCATATTTGATAAAAGACTTCCTCTTATCCACATGGGTCAACTTTGAACCTTCACCTCAGGCCAAATGGTAGAACTATCTCATACAGCCACATTTCGAATATACAAGAGCTGCAATGGCATCTTGCCACTCACATTGTGCTGCATGTAACAATTTTAAGCCCAACTCTGTTCCATCCTGATTAGGAAACGTTAGCCATTCAGAAAATTATGGGGATAAAACAATTGGGTCTGAAGGAAAATGTTTTAGAGCTTGTGCAGGGGGAAGAGACTTGAGCCTTCTTAGAAGGGACCACACATCAGATTTAGGACAGCCTTGACTCATTTCTAGAGCCAGTGGAAGAGAATGTTTTCTATTTAATTCCACAAGCATTACTCCCTACAGATTGAAGAAACAACTATTAATATACATACAAACTACAGGAATCTTCCATATAGAAATAAAGATTTGTATTACCTCAAAGTTTGCTAAGAAAGCTTGAAATTTGCGCATAGTCTCCTTCATGTTCTGGACTATATTCGTGTCAGAAGAAGAAAGAGCTGCAGTGACCTCCACAGGAGAATAACCAATTCCTTTCTGTACAACCTAAAATATTTTATCATTGATCAGTTTGGTACGGTGGGAAGATAAAGCTCCCATATTAAAAGCTTATGTTTTAGAACAAACTCACATCATGATCTATGAGGATTTCGGAAATAAGACTACCGTCATCTACGTATGCCTGAAGCTCGTAGGTTGTCCTTTTCTTATACTGGAATCCTTTAACACCGGTCAGAAAGCACTACAAAAAAAAATGCGTTTATAGTATTGAAAAATAGGGATTACAGAAAATAAGATGCATCAACTACGACATGTTACAAAATAAAATTTCATCCAGGAACCAATATCACCATAGAATAGCAATTAATGTCTGATACTCTCTACATTCACAATATGAAACTTTATATGTAGAGGAGAGAACACACCATGTGGATTCAGCTCAAACAACTTTTGACAACATCGCAGTAAAACATGTTTGAACTTTTAACATCATCATTATAAAACATGTTGGTAGGTAGCCTATTCTAACAACTTGTATTGGCTAAAGAGTCCATAAAAGCAATCTGAATACTGATACTAACATATGCACGAGAACTAAAATCACTACCCAAAGAAAGAACATTGGACAGTTTAAACTCCTTACCTTAATTTTACCCTGAACCAGAGAATCTGTCTCCTTCATTGCAGCCCACTTGGCTGACAAACTAGCTAAGTATGTGAAGGGAACTTCAGGGTCTCCAGAGAGTGTGAGTGGATTGCCACTGACATCATCCATCAAGATATCGTCATAGTTAAAACCAGTGGACGAAGATCCATTCAGAGGAGTATTACCTGTGACTACAGGAACCCTGTCTCTGTCTGTATCCACAATTTCAGAAACAGGAGAGCGCTCGGTAGTCACAGAACTTGCTACGTGAACAGTGTCTTCATGTACCGCTGCAACATTTGAGTTCATGTGAGAAGATTGGTTTGCCGCAGAGTTTTCCCTGAAAATATGAGCAGTATCTATATGCATCTCCTCAGCTATTGAAGAAGTCCGGTTAGCCATTGAATTATGATGGGACACAGGATTGGTACCCCACTGCATATCAATATTCATTGGCTGCACATTTGAAGCATTGTGAGGTATTGAATTAGAAGTAGCATTGTGTGCATCCATTGGTGAAGCATGTTCAGTTGCTATTCTGGCACCCCACTGGCCCGGCGTATCAATATTCATTCGTTCCACGTTTGGCTGCACATTTGAAACCATATGAGGTATTGAATTAGAAGTAGCATTTTGTGAATCTACAGGAGAAGCATGTGCAGTTGCTATTCTGGCACCCCGCTGGCCCGGCGTATCAATGTTCATTCGCTCCACATTTGAAACCATGTGGGGTATTGAATTGGAACTAGCATTTCGTGCAACCATGGGTGTAGTATATCCAGTTGTAATGCTGGCACCCTGCTGGTGCCGCATGTCAACATTTGTTCGCTCCCCGTTTGAAACCGTGTGGGGTATTGAATTGGAAGTAGAATTTTGTGCATTCATGCGCGAAGAGTCTTCGGTTCTTAAGTTGTTACGAGTGCCACGAATGCTATGGCCAGTACCTGATGTAAAACACGTACATAAAAACAGATAAGATCAGAGTCAAGAATGCTAAGACTGAGGTCGGTTACATCATATGTATATACATCTTTGCTCACACACACATTTATGTATTCTAATCTAGAACATATGAACTGACCTTGGTTGTTTGCCTGGACAGTATCAGTACTGTGTAATGTTGAGCCACTGTGACTGGGATCATCCACTCTACTTGGAGGCCATGCGGCAAGAGTCGCTCGGACTGATAAAGGGGGAAGCACCCCATCTCTGGTTCTGCATTAGGATAACAAAGATTAACTAAACTAAGCAACGTTTACCTATATGCAGTAAAATTACAGATTATAATAGTATAAAGCAACGAGAAACATAGAAACAGCAAGAAGGTTTATGCAAATTTAGCTTCCATATTAAAATATAACTTTCATGCTTTGCACCAATATAAATACAATTGGAATAATTAATTTTTACCTTTTTCCCCTAGCTGGCTTATTTAGTTCATCAACCAGCCGCTTTCGAGCTGCATCCAGCTCCTCAACTAATCCCCCCAATACTTGAATGGTCTCAGGAACCAGCATCAAAAGCCCATGGCGCACTTGTACGTTAGAGATTGCGACCTACAAGTACAATAGATCCCTCAAGTTCACCCTTACTCATGGAGAATAGCAATTAAGTAATGTGTGCAAGGCATCGATAGCAGATGAAAGTGATAAATAAAGAGAAGGCCCCAGAAGATTAAAAATAAGAATGAACTGTTGCTTATTTGATTGAGCACTTTAGCTGATACTATACACCCAGATGCATTAGTTATATCCACCAAAAGTATTACATCCAAATCAGCATTGTTACAAAATGATCTAACTATAACAAAATATGCAAGAAATAATCCAATAAGAGCAAGTTTAAATGTAGAGAATAACTTAGTGTGAGTCCAAATCAAAGAATTATATGTGTCTATGTGCGTGTATTCAGATGAAAAGAAATGAAGACTTGTGGTATCGAAGAAACCTTTAAACCAGAAGATGCACAAACTTCAAGATCTTTAATAGGCCGGTACTCCATTCCAAAAACTCTCTGAATACCATCAGTCATTGACAACTTCAGGCACCTTTTAAGGCCTGGAGGAGCTTGTTGATATCTGCTTCGTAGAGGACAAGTGATATTGAGAATCTCATCAACCTGCCAATGCATTCGTCTTCAAATTCCGCAAACAAAATTGATCGCAATTAACGAAACGCAGAAAATACACCAGCAACCATCTAAGGAAAAAAAATACTTAACCCAATGTCCATCATATATGAACATAATTTGATACCGACAACCTAAGCAGAGTTCTCTTAAGTTTTGAGAGGTCCTTTGTAGATGAGTCACAGCTTAAAATAGGAGCTCTATTTTGGTGAAAATATTTTATGAGACTCTATTTAACTATGATTTAACCATGTCAAATTTTGGACAATATACAGCAGCCCTCCTAGGACGCCCTCAAAGACGTCCTGAACCTAAGATACTATACACTACGATAAAGGACTAAAGGAATGTTCAAGTTCAAATTACTTTTCGGTAACCAAAATACATCAAGTTAAGTTGACATCAAGGTGGAGCAATACATTCCTTACCACTTAACAAAATTGAATTATGCAATCATTTGGTTTAAGCTTTTTTTTTTTCAAAAATCAAGATATAGTATAAAGTAAACCTGCAAGTTCATCTTTGATAATTTTGGCAAATGCAACATTAGTACTTAAGAATGCAAATATTATGAATTTGGGATTCAAACTCGAACTAACAGTAGTAACCGGTGGAGTACAATTCAACAAAAATGTGTCAATGAATTGAGAAAACCTAAATAATTCCGATAACAAGATGAAGTTAAACGAAACAAAATCAAAACCTGCAATACGTAGGGACCTGGAAGAACATCGAGATGCATGGATTCCACATTAGGAGGAAGCGCGCCGCTCCCACAGAAATTGAGATCAGAAAGCAGAAACTGCTCGAAACAGAGTTTGGCTTTTCTAGCAACATCGAACCCTTGAAAGCCGTTCACCGAAACCCCTAGTTCGCGGAGACAATCAGCGAGCGAGTCTCTCTTCAAGCAAAACCCGAGCCGGCGGAGAAAATCGTTGACGGGACAGTCGGAAGCCTGAGGTTCGGGAACATGTGGAGGAGGATTGGGCGGAACGGTGACATCAGGGACGTCGATGAAGTCGTCGTCGGAGATTACGACGGGCTCCGAGGGAAAATTGGGAGAAGTTTGAGTTTGATGTGGGGATGTGCGGGGTTGTGGCTGAGGTTCGACTGTGTCGGCGGCGTCTTCATCGTCGTCTTCGTCGTCGAGTCTGAGACGGCGTATGTGCATTTTTTCCGAGGAGAAAATGGGAGGTTTTTCGAAAATGTGATTCTATTTGCCCTTGGAAATGAGCGGGAATTATAAAAGTACTAATATTCTCTCCCGCATCAAGTAAAAAGGGAGGTGCAAATAGAAATTGAATCACTATTTCCGGCAAAAGGCTGAAGGAGGCTCTATTATTCAAGAGATACACAGTTGTATATGACATTCCATGTATTTCATAATTTTCAACTTGTTCATGAATAATTTTTAAATTTTCAACTTGTTCATGAATCATTTTGAATAAAAAAGGCAAACGAAATTTCGGTAGTTGATTCTAAATCAAATTTTCAATAGTTTATTTTAAAATTTCCAATATATATTTTTTATCGAAATTTTTGAAAAAAAAATTAAAATATTAGATTTTTCAAAAAAAAATTTGGTATTGGGTTATTTTTCGGGATTTTTTAAAATTTTGGTAGTTCATATTAAATAAATAAAAATGTAACACCATCGAAAATTTGAAAAAGTATTGTAGTTTACTAAAAATTTCAAAATTTTCAGTAGTATGAAAAAAATTGAAATTTTTAAAATTTTTTGTTTTGAATTTTGGTATTTCTTCAATATTTTATCAAAAAATTTCAATATATTTTCAAAATTTTCGATAAACACAATAGAAAATTTTAAAAAATATATGTGAGGATATAGAGATAATAGCGTCAGAGATGTGGGGGTATTAAGTACAACTGTGGAGGTGGCAAGTTAAAACCTCCACCTAGAGTTATATTTGGCACTCATCATGTAATGTTTTTTTTTATATTATATTTGTAAATTAAAAAACTATTTTATATTTTTATTGTCACATTTTGAATTTTTTTTAAAAGTTGTGTGATTTATTAGATATTTTAAATCAAGTATCGAATTTTTACAAGTAAGTTGTGCTTTTACCGGTAATTTACATTTTATATTGGATTTTTCGTTAAAAACATACATTTTTACCAGCAATTTTGAAATGTCCGATAAAAACTCATATTTCTCATGCAATTTTACCGGATATTTTAAAAAATCTGGTTAAACCACATACATTCTGTCGATGATTTTGAAAAGTTCGACAAAAATGCATACATGCATACACTACGCCAGAAATGAGTTTTAGCAGCGCACCCTTTAGCAGCGCTTCTTAAAAAGCGCTGCTAAAGGGTGGGTAAAAAAAAAAGAAAAAAAATTTCCCACCTAAGACAGCGCTTTTGAAAAAGCGCTGCTAAAGGGGGGCTCTAAGAAAGCGCTTTTAAAAAGCGCTGCTAAAGGGGGACATAAGAAAGCGCTTTTAAAAAGCGCTGCTAAAGATGTCCCCCTTTAGCAGCGCTTATTCTATAAAGCGCTGCTATATGGCATTGCTAAGGCACCCTAAGAAAGCGCTTTTAAAAGCGCTGCTAAAGGCATTTAAAAGCGCTGCTAAATGGGGGACCTAGAGGGGGACATAAGAAAGCGCTTTTAAAAAGCGCTGGTAAAGGGGACCCTTTAGCAGCGCTTTTTCTATAAAGCGCTGCTATATGGCATTGCTAAGGCACCCTAAGAAAGCGCTTTTAAAAGCGCTGCTAAAGGCCATTAAAAGCGCTGCTATAGGTATTAGTATTATAATTTTTAAATACCCTCCAGAATTTTAAGAGAAACAGAACAGTCGCGTACATTTCTTTTCTTCTGTCTTTCTCCTCTGTCGAACGAACTTGCCCTATTCAAGTGCCGTCATCCGCCGCCCGACCGTCGCCCGCCGTCCGTTCACCGTCCGTTCTCCATCCGTTTTCGAGTGCATCCGTTCGTCTGCATTGCATTTCCACCATTGTTAAGGTATGTGACAGTTTCAAGGGATTTTCTTGTTTTTTTTTTCTTTTCACCATTGTTTGTATTTGAAGACATTAAAGGTTTTGAAGGTTTTTGTTAATACTGTTATCTAAATATTGATGGTTTTTCTTTTCACTATTGTTGGTATTTGATGGTTTTTCTAAATATTTGTTTTCACCATTGTTGGTATACTATTGTTTTTGTTGTTGGTATACTATTGTTTTTGTTATTTAAATATTGATGGTTTTTCTTTTCACCATTGTTGGTATACTATTGTTTTTGTTGTTGTGTAGATATGTTTCTTTTGAGGACATGCAAGTAAATTTTAGTGTTGATAACGTATACTGTTGTTGAGTAATTATTTTTGTTGTTGCGTTCAAGTATGATACGTATATTGTTGTTTTGTATTGAAGGTTTGAGGACATGCATGCAAGTAAATTTTAGTGTTGTTGTTGTGTAGAAATGACTTATTGAAGGTTTAGTGAAGGTTTTATATGTTGATATGTTATTATGTTATTATGATGGATTTCTCAATGTTTATATGATATATATATGTTATTATGGTTTTATATGTTTAGTTAGGATTTCTCAATGTTTAGTAAGGGTGTCATTTTGGTTTAAGGATTATCTAGTAATTTTAATATGATTTGTTTTGGTGGATTATCTAGTATTTTTAATATGATTTGTCTTGGTTAATTATTAATATGATTTTAATAAAATTTATATTTTGTCTGCTATAGGGGTTACCTGTGAAGAGCAAAGTTGCGATCGTTTCCAAGCATCCTATTGCGTAGCATTCTTAGAAGTTAGTGATTTCCTTACAGGTATTCTCTGTTTTGTTTAACTTTTATAGTTTAGTGTAGATTACTCAATTAGTATGGATAAAAAATGGATGTCTGGTAATCGATTGTCAAATGAGTACGAGAATAGGGTATCGAAGTTCGTTAAGTTTGCTGTTGAACACGCCAAAGACCCCAGTAGGATCACATGTCCTTGCTTAAGATGCTGTTATGGGCGTCGAGTTGACGCCGTTCAGTTGGAATCTCATTTAATGAGACATGGAATTGACCGAAGTTACACATGTTGGACATTACATGGTGAGATAAGTAACGAGAATGTTGAACCCCGGAATAATACGACATGTGCTTCAAAGGACAATGGCAGAGATACATATGATTGTGATCGAGTCGAAGAGATTGCAGAAGCACTTGAAGAAGATCTTCAAGATTGTCCCAAGATGTTTGAGAGGTTGGTAAGCGATGCAGAGAAACCGTTGTATAAAGGTTGCACTACTTTCACAAGATTGTCCGCGGTATTAAAGTTGTACAATTTAAAGGCGGGTAATGGATGGTCGGATAAAAGTTTCACAGAGTTGTTAGCGCTACTTCAAGAGATGCTTCCGGAGGATAATGTTCTTCCCAATCGAACCTATGAAGCTAAAAAAATGTTATGCTCTATTGGCATGAGCTATGATAAGATACATGCTTGTCCAAATGATTGCATTTTGTTTCGAAATGAACATGCATCATTAAACGAGTGTCCTAAATGCGGTGTATCTCGGTATAAGAAAAAATTGTCACCGGCAAAAGTATTATGGTATTTTCCTATAATTCCGAGATTCAGACGCATGTTTCGTAGTGAAACAGATGCAAAACACCTGACTTGGCATGCAGATGATAGAATTGTAGATGGGAAGTATCGACATCCGGCAGATTCACCACAGTGGATGAAAATTGATAATGATTATCCTGATTTTGGAGAAGAAGCTAGAAACCTTCGCTTGGCATTATCGACTGATGGAATGAATCCGCGTGGTCTGCAGAGTATCTCACATTCTACCTGGCTTGTAATTATTATGATTTATAACCTACCTCCATGGCTATGTATGAAGCGTAAGTACATGATGTTATCTATGTTAATTTCTGGCCCTAAACAACCAGGGAATGACATAGACGTATACCTGACACCTCTAATCGAAGACTTAAAGAGTTTGTGGGAGAACAGTGTGGAGGTTTATGATGGATATAGGAAAGAAAGTTTCAATTTGAGGGCGATGGTGTTTGGCACAATTAATGATTTCCCAGCATACTGAAATCTATCGGGGTATAGCATTAAAGGTCAATGTGCGTGTCCTATCTGTGAAGAAAACACAGATTGGACGCGGTTGGAATTTGGTCAGAAGAATGTCTTTCTTGGTCATCGTAGATTCTTAAATTCTAGTCATCACTACCGTGGGTGGAGAAAAGCATTCAATGGAGATTCAGAACAACGTAAAGCTCCACCTACATTGACCGGCGAACAAATTTTTGAAAAGGTGAAAGATGTGAGTACTAAGTTTGGCAAGCCTTTTGCTCATACGCTTGTCACGCGTGGGTGGAAGAAGAGGTCAATTTTGTTTGAGTTGCCGTATTGGAAGTCGTTGTATGTAAGACATTTTCTTGATGTTATGCATATTGAAAAAAATGTATTCGAAAGTGTTATTGGTACGTTACTCAATATACAAGGAAAGTCTAAGGATGGCCTTAAAGCAAGAAAGGACTTGGTAGCAATGGGAATAAGGAATGAATTAGGACCCTTGAAGAAAGGAAATCGCACATATCTACCACCTGCTGCTTATACTCTATCTAGAAAGGAGAAAAATATACTGTGTAAGTTTCTGAGTGAAGTTAAAGTTCCAGAAGGATACTCTTCAGATATTAGAAGACTTGTTTCTATGAAAGACCTCAAGTTAAAAAGTTTAAAGACACATGACTGCTGTTGCACCCTAATTTTTTACCATAAGACCCCACCCCCTTTTGTGCTTTGCTTTGTTTCTTATCCTTTTACCTTTGTGTGTGTGTTTATTACGGCTAACCAATTTATACAGATGCAATAATTCCAAGTAGAGATAGCATTCATTCCCGCATTTACACACTTCTGGATGGGATTCAAGATCAGCCTTAGAATTCAGAGTTTGGCCCTGGACTTGTTTAAAATGTTTTCGTCGTTCCCAAAACCGTGGATTTTTGTCTTAAGAGTTTATGTCTCTCCATTTATACATTATGGCAAATTGGGTTTGGGCCAAAAGGCCAAAATATTTCAGAAGTGTAGACTGGTCCAGCATAATTTCAAGCATTGATTTAAACTCGTGGTAGATTGGTTTCAAACTACGCTCTACAAGATGAAGGAGTTCTCCACATTCAAGTTCA